TCCCCGGATAAGACCCGTTGCGATAATCTGCACGCCAGGGACACCACCATTATGGCTATGATTGATAAGTCACTCAGCACCAAGGAACGTAATGAACTGGCGAGTATTCTGCGCAAACATGCCGGTATTTTTGATTTCGCTCAGCATGATTCACCGTCATTCCCTGCTTCTCGTATAAAGCACCGAATTGACACGACATCTCACAGACCTCTCCGACAGAAACCATATCGTGTATCGCCTTCGGAACGCGCAGTGACCAATGAACAGGTTTGCGAGATGCTCAAGCAAAATGTAATTCAAGAATCATGTAGTCCGTGGGCCGCTCCAGTAATTCTAGTGAAGAAGAAGGATGGGACATGGCGATTTTGTGTTGACTACCGCTGTCTCAACGCCATCATTAAAAAAGACGTATACCCACTCCCGCGGATTGATGATGCCATCGACTGTCTATCATCGGCCTCTTACTTTTCGTCTGTGGATCTGAGGTCAGGCTACTGGCAGATTCCAATGCACGAGGAAGACAAGGAGAAAACGGCATTAGTTACAACAGATGGACTATTTGAATTCAATGTGATGCCGTTCGGACTCTGCAACGTGCCCGTAACTTTTGAGCGATTTATGGACAACATTCTGCGTGGATTGAAGTGGGAAGTGTGTATGTGTTACTTGGACGACGTTGTAATTTTTGGGCGCACCTTTTGTGAGCACAACACACGCCTTGGCCTCGTACTGGACTGCCTAAGCAAAGCACGCTTGGTGCTCAACTCAAAGAAATGTCGTTTTTGGAGAGCGCCAAACACTCGTCCTTGGACACTTAGTAAACAAAGAAGGCATACGACCGGATCCCGCCAAGACGGCCGCAGTGGAGGCATTTAAGCAGCCAAGCTCGGTGAAAGAGCTGCGCAGCTTTTTGGGGCTTTGTTCATACTTTCGCCGATTCATTCCTGGCTTTGCCAATATCGCATACCCGCTCACGTCTCTGCTTCAGAAAGGTGCGCAGTTTGACTGGACCCCGGACTGCAAGTCTGCTTTTTCGGAGTTGAAGTTTCTTTTGACGTCCCATCCGATTCTTCGACACTTCAATCCTCTCGCTCCCACTGAGATTCACACAGACGCCAGCGGTATTGGTGTAGGTGCTGTCCTGGTTCAACGCTTGGATAATCAAGAACACGTCGTAGCGTATGCAAGTCGCTCGCTCAGCAAGTCCGAGCGTAACTACACTGTCACAGAGCAAGAATGCCTTGCAGTAGTCTTCGCAGTGCAGCGCTTCCGGTCCTACCTGTATGGACGCCCCTTTACCGTCGTGACAGACCATCATTCTCTCTGCTGGTTGGTCAACCTGCGTGACCCATCTGGTTGGCTGGCGCGCTGGGCACTTCGTCTACAAGAATATGACTTCACGGTTTCCTATAAAAGTGGCCGACGCCACGCTGACGCAGATTGTCTTTCGCGACTACCGCTTCCAACGATGGAATGTGACGCGGACACCTTCGATACCTACATTGCATCACTCGACCAACCATTTCCCGATAACAAGACCTTTAAAGACGAGCAACAAAGGGACAGCACCATACAACAGCTTCTTGCTACAAAACCAAAATCATCGCCTACGCGCTTCTGCATCCGAGACGGGCTTGTTTACAAAAAAAACTACACCAACACCGGCTCACGATATCTTCTGGTTGTTCCGAAGAGTCTTCGCGTTTATGTTTTGCAGGCTATGCATGATGACCCAACATACGGCCATCCAGGCACAGCGAAAACTCTGTGCCGTCTTCAAGAAAGATTCTACTGGCCCAAAATGCGCCAGACGACGGAACAATACGTGTTTAGCTGTAACGAGTGTCAACGTCATAAGCGCCCAACAAGTGCTCCTTTAGGGCGATTACATCCGGTGCCGCCCCCTAGAACTCCATTCGAGCAAGTCGGGATTGACCTACTTGGACCCTTTCCCCAGTCTTTTGATGGAAATCGCTGGATAGTCGTTTGCACCGACCATTTAACACGGTACTGCGAGACAGCTGCCATACCATCGGCAACTGCAGCCGATGTGTCTTCCTTCATGCTACGTTTTGTAATTCTTCGACATGGACCTCCCAAAATCGTAATCAGTGACCGTGGCCGACAATTCACAGCAGACGTGATGGAAGAGATGCTTCGTGTCTGTGCTTCAAGGTTTCGGCACTCTACGCCATACCATCTCCAAACGAACGGTCTAACTGAACGAACAGAACTCTCTCGAACATGCTGTCTATGTATGTTGCATCCGATCACAAGGACTGGGACAGTATTCTACCTTTTATCACATATGCATTCAACACCGCTCAGCATGAAACTACCGGCTACAGTCCTTTCTTTTTTCTATATGCTCGACCACCTCGTCATACCCTGAATACCATCTTCCCGAGTTTGGACCACCATGATCCCTGCATATCCGAGATCATCTGTCGGGCAGAAGAAGCTAGACGCCTTGCTTATTTGCGCACTCTTGCTTCGCAAGATCGCTCGAAGGCACATTTTGACCGCCGACGCCGACACGTGACGTGCAATCGCGGCGACCTAGTGTTGCTGTGGACACCAACTAGAAAACGCGGTTTGAGCGAGAAACTGCTAGCGCACTATGCGGGACCTTATCTTGTTGTAGACCGTATCAGTGATTAAGTTTACCGCATAGCGCGTCTCCATTCAAACGGCCGACGGTCTGCAAAAACTGAACTTGTCCATGTTGCACGTTTGAAGCGCTTTATTCCTCGAGAGACTGTTTGACTCGCCCAGTGGGCTTCGTCTGCGCGTAGGGAAGTGTTACCACATGTGTAATTTAGGTATGTGCACCTGTGTAGCGGGGAACATGGTGGTAGCAGAAGAAGAGGACGTTCGGTTGGTGGAAGAGCTCGCTGCTTCGCGTTCACTGCGGTATACCGTCGAGTCGACCGTTACGTCTGCTTCGAATAAACCCCTCGTAGACGTAACAATATTTTGCTGTGACCGTACTGCAGGTGTGTTCGGCGTATGCGTGGCATTTTTAACCGTGAAGCGGCGTAGTGAATCGTTCCTTGTTAGTCGATCGCAGAAAACTATGATACTAATAAAGCATATGTGCCACTGTGCACACAGTTGTTAATATGATGCACATATTATATGCACATAATGAAAATTGGCCAAATATCACCACTCGCCACTAGTAACTAAAGAAGAAAGGAGACAAGTCAGCCCAACAAATGGCTGCGAATTGATGGCGGTGAGCCAAAAACCTCGAGTATGTTACTTGTGAATGCTTAGTGTACATTTAAGGGCTCGTTTTGTTTCTTAGACACAGTAATAATGGCATCTAACAGACAATCATGAAGAGGAACACCGCAGGTTGTGGTTATGTTACATATGTTAACGTCGTTTCTTCCCGACATGAAGCTTCTATAAGAAGTAAAGGAGGGAAAGTGGTATCAAGGTGGCTATTGTAAGACAGTAATTTGTCTTCCACAACTGCAAAGGGACTAAGTGTGCCCCACATTGCGCGTTTACACGTTGCTCCTACTCAAGCGATACATGGATTCTCCTCCCCGATACTTCCTTAAAAAATAATAGTAGCTTTATTGAGCAAAAAAAAAATAAAGCTGTTTTCGATCGCCTTATCACGTATTTTGATGTTTATAGAGACATATTATAGGCTTACAATCAATATACAGTGCAGACGTCCCTTTCAGAAATAAAGGTTAGAAAATTTGCAACAAGCACACAGGATGCAAAGTGGCGCCCCATGGATCAGCATGCGTGTTATATAGGCCCCGATGGGTCTTAGTGCGTTCTGGCACGTTAGTGCAACGTGCATAGGCACGCGCTCAGGGGAGTCAAAACAGGTGAGAACTCCCACCCCCCTTTTTTTTCTCTCCCAGTTATCTAAAAGGGGATGCCAATTCCTCCCCATCCTTATATCAGTTATGCCTAACGCCATCTTTCAATGCTCAGCGATATCGCCCCTAATGATTTTTTACTATAAGGGCGTCTCAGAAACCTCGATCTTGAATTTCGCCCCGCCGCGGTGGTCTAGTGGCTAAGGTACTCGGCTGCTGACCCGCAGGTCAAGGGACCAAATCCCGGCGGTGGCTGCTGCATTTCCGATGGAGGCGGAAATATTGTAGGCCCGTGTACTAAGATTTGGGCGCACGTTAAACCCCAGGTGGTCGAAATTTTCGGAGCCCTCCACTACGGCGTCTCTCATAATCATATGGTGGTTTTAGGAAGTTAAACCCCACGAATCAATCAATCGATCTTGCATTTGAAGGACTGCTTATTACGTACTTTCACGTGGAAAGTCAAGGATTAATGAAAGGTCACTATTACAAGGACATCACTTCATTTCTTTCTGCGTTGGCGTGTCCGTCGAGCACGAACACGCAGATCGACAGGAAGGCGTGCATGCCAACGAAGCCCAAGCGTCCACCAAGTATCTTCATCACAGCATGTAATGTTACTACACTTATGTCCAATGCCAAATAGAGATATCTTCTAACAACCCATTACTCCGGCTATGCACGAGGGGATTCGCCAAGTTTGTTGAGGCGCGCTCTATACGAGAAATGATTCTCATGAAAACATTAGTATTTCGATACGCTCCGTATCTCTTCCCGTTGTGATCAATTGACAAAATTCTCATGGGCTCTGACATGATCGTCCGAGATTAATATGTTGCGCCACCTCCTGTTGACTAAACCCCAATAGCACTGTGACGTTGTGACAGTGTCATGAATACACCGCTAATATTAGTTATTTATCACGTACTGATGATGTTTTCTGAAAACATGGGATAGTTTTTGGGCTGCTCACGTTTCTCGCCGCCGACGGTCACTTTAAGTGTTTCTTAAGGCGTCTCACACTTTCGCCTTGAACCTTTCATCAGTAGCCTGTACTTCTCTATTTTCTTATCGTCGAACCTCTCATTTCCTGCGCTGTAAACTTAAAATAATGAATCACCTACTATTGCAACCAATCAAGGGGCAACTTACCACTGCGATGGCCCTGCGCCTGGCGAATTCCTTGCGGGTTTTCTCGTTCGAGTCGCCCACGCCCCAGTTTTGGACCTCCAGGCCCGGCTGGTACTCTCCAACGTCGAAGCCCCCGGGTTGCTCCTCGTAAAGATCGTCGTACCACTGCCATTGCTCGGCGCCATCCTCCTGCTGTTCAACGTGGTAAGCGCACCGATACGCGAGGACCAAGCCCTGCCCAGGCACGTAGTGCGAATGGCATCCGCAGTAGCCGCCCGTTGGTAACGCCTCCTGGGCAGCTTGGACGCAGCCGTAGCAAGGCTGGATGCCTGGTGGTTCGCCAGAAGCAGCAGCGACCGCCATTCTTCTTTTCTTCTTCGCAGGTGAACGTTGATGATGATGGTTATGACAACCGTATTGTTGCGCATACCCACAACGGAGGACTGACCTGGTATAGAGGACGTTAAGCTTGGAGTGAGTGAATGACGCAAAAAATACACATAGAACAAAAAAGAGCACTTAAAGAAAACCAGAACATGATTCGGCGTACCGCTCTTCCTTAACAGAGCACTTGGTCGGTTTCAACCCCAGAAAAAAAAAATCCAGGCTCCGACTTTGTCCACTGCGGTCCCACGCAACGAGAATTTGTATACATGCTGGCTCCCACTATGCTCGCTTAATTTATTCAAGCCTGGTGCTTCTTCGTGCAGATGGTTGAGCCGTAAGACGGTAGATTAAAGCGTTTCTTCATACACACATGAGATGTCGGGTAGCTGCGACCACCTGGGATCTTTTTCTCGATATACTGCCATGCTTCGTTCTTCATCGTAACCTTACCTTGGTATTTAAAGAGCCAGTAAACAACCACGAGGTCCAAAAATTGTTATAAAGCACTTTGGCTTTCTGAACATGCTGACACAAGAATTTTGCGAATACGTGCTATAATAAGGAAGTGACAGGTGCTAGAACATCGGTGACAGAAAACCAGGAGCCTCAGGCTTGTGTCGTCGCGTTGTATGTCTGGAGCGCTACAGAAGCAATATATATATATATATATATATATATATATATATATATATATATATATATATATATATATATATATTATATATATATATATATATATATATATATATATATATATATATATATATATATATATATATGTCGTAGCTTTGTCTGTCATCGTCGTAGCAAGGACAATTACCACGACGATGACAGACAAAGCAGTGTCTTTTTACAGGGTTACGAACAATCCAGTGAGCAGCAAGGCAACACCAGCCGCTTCTCCGCCTCCCAGCGGGGCCACGTCGTCCCAGTCAAGGTACCAATTCAGAAGCAAGCGGCCTGATCCTACCCAAGCAACCGAATGACTACCACCTAGCCGGGGTAAGACTCCCTTTGGGGATGCCTCAGTGCATTTTTTGAAGCTTAGAAAAGTGATCGAAAAGCGTATTCGCTGCGACCTGCATGCTTCCACCTTAAAAATGTATATTGCTACATCAACAGTACCTAAAGGTTTAAGCCTTAACTTAAGGCCTGCTACGTCTGAAACGACTAGCAATAATCTCTCCAGGTGGGACAACACGCTCAAACGAGCGTCTCTGGAACTCACGCGCATTGTGACTAACCATTATGAGTCATCCGGAAAACAGCTAAGGAACAAAGAGAACCAACTCTTTGCTACGCGGAATTTCACTGCCGATGAAAGAGCGTCGCTTGATAACTACAGGCAAGAAAAAATTCGCGAGCTCAGCGACAAAAATATAAAAAGTTGATACGCGATAACATTTGCACAAGCGTCAGCACTCTTGATGACGCAACGTCTTCAGTGCATTCGTCCTCCGCAGAAGCTGGAAATATAGTAAATATTTCTAGTGCCATGTTATCGGCTGAAGAATTGAGCGTTCTTTCCCGTGGTTTCAACTTTTGTCCTGCCACTGGAGGATACAATGAATTCCAACTAATCAGTGACTTACACAATTTTGAAAGAAGCATACGTTTACGCGAATACTTTCATAATCGGCCTCCATCTATCAAAACAGCATTTTTTTCTACTAAGCACTGGACTCCCCCTTCCCAAAGAGATAAATGTCTCGATATTTACATCCGAGCAGTGCTGCGAGCTGTACTCGAAGCATACAAAAAGCAATCGCCGTTTCACCGCAACCTAAGCGACAAAGAAAAACAAGCGATCCAGACCCTGGCTTCCCGAGACGACATCGTCATCAAACCGGCCGATAAAGGGGGAGCAATCGTAATAATTAATTAGGCTGATTTCCTTCGTGAGGCCCACAGGCAATTAAATGACCACACATTTTACAGACATTTCAGCTACGATCCAACCGAGGAATTCAAGACCAAAGTAAAAGAAGCTTTAAAAGAGCTTGTAAGAAAAAATGAAATTCCAGAAACTGTGCTTAAATCCTTAGTCCCCCTGAGTCCGGTAGCTGGTAGATTTTATCTGCTTCCTAAGATTCATAAACAAAATAATCCAGGCCGGCCAATTATTTCAGGAATAGGAACCATTACGGAAAGCCTGTCTCAATATGCAGACAGCTTAATTAGTTCAATTCCTCCTAACTTTTCTTCATATGTCAAGGACACTAATCACTTTCTGCGTGACATTGTAAATATGCGTGTTCCGAGTGAGGCTCTTCTGGTCACACTAGATGTGGTGTCACTGTACACAAATATACCCCATGCGGACGGGATTCGTTCTGTACTCCAAGCATACAATGACTTGGTAAATGACAAACCCATCGACGGTTCCACCTTGGGCACTATTTTATCGCTGATACTCGAGCTTAACAACTTTGAATTTAACGGTGAACATTATGTTCAAACCAGCGGCACCTCGATGGGCATAAAAATAGGTCCCAATTATGCGAACATCTTCATGGGCATTCTAGAAAATAACTTTTTCGCCACTCGTGACCTTAAACCACTTTATTGCAAACGCTTCATTGACGACATTTTCTTAATTTGGCACCATGGTGAATCGGCATTACATTCTTTCATTGCAGACTTTAACAAAGTAGAACCATCCATCTCCTTTTCCCACTCTTATTCACCAGTCACCATAAACTTCCTTGACGTCAATGTAGCTTTAAGCAATGGTAAACTAACGACAAACCTATACAGGAAGCCCACTGACCGACAAAGATATCTTCATTTTAAAAGTAGCCATGTCAAACACTGCAAAACAAGTATCCCCTATAGCCAAGCTATCCGTTTTAAAAGAATTTGTTCGGACAACAGGGATTTCACTCGCAACTGTGACCAGCTCCGTAAAGCATTAACCGAACAACAATATCCTTCACAAATAATTGACGACGCTCTCCAACGGGCCAAATGTCTCGATCGGAAAGAGCTCATCAGTAAAGACAAGCGATTAGCACCACCTTCCCGAACCAACCTTGTTCTAAAGCATTCTGCATCTATTCCTAACGTGTCGCATATACTCAGAAAGCATTACAACTTACTGACACAGAGCGATCGGCTTAAGGACATCTTCACTGAATCACCGCGGGTTGTATATCGGAGATCAAGGAACTTGTAACTTCTTCCAAGACTAGATTCATTGCTCCCGTTGGTTGTCACCCCTGTAAAAAAACGCGATGTAAAGTTTGTGCGCACATGACCACTGCGACTGTTGCTAAAAGCACGGCATCTAACTTTTCACTTAGGATTAAAGGGGACTTAAACTGCGATAGCAGCAACATCATTTACTTACTTGAATGCTCAATCTGCCACATGCAATACATCGGTCAAACCGAGACATCTTTTCGTATCCGTTTCAACAACCACAAATCACACGTAAACAGTTTGCCACATCTTCCATTGTCCAAGCATTGTCATCTACCAGGTCATTCGTTTGACAAGATTATGGTGACACTATTAGAATCGGGCTTTAAATCGCACCATGATCGCGAAATTCGAGAATCGTTCTTGATTCACAAGTTCAACAGTCTGTTATCCGGCATTAACGAATGCGTAGGCAAAGTGTCATGCCTTTCTACGATGCCCTGACGTCCGAAATTTTGAGAAATATTTAAAGAAGCATCCCTGACGTATGATATACTTCCTAAAGGTTATCACATATTTATTTTTTTCATGCGTGATCCTCGTCGTCAGTGGTGAATGTTACAAATACCTTTTACATGCCCACAATCTTGTCTATTGTATTAGATTTTAATGGTTTGTAGTGTAGTCACGGCTGTTTCAAAGAATTTTTGTGACACTCACATGCTGATCGCACGTGTTTTGTACTGACGTGTTCATGCCTGCCCATAAAAGCGGCCACATACTCGTATTTCTGTTAATCCTGACGAAGGCCGTGCCACGGCCGAAACGTAGAGTAAACAATTATCAAATTTTCGTAAGTGTGCTCCTTTATTCTTAATTATATGTATGTATATATATATATATATATATATATATATATATATATATATATATACATATATATATATATATGTGTGTGTGTGTGTGTGTGTGTGTGTGTGTGTGTGTGTGTGTGTGTGTGTGTGTGTGTGTGTGTGTGTGTGTGTGTGTGTGTGTGTGTGTGTGTGTGTGTGTGTGTGTGTGTGTGTGTGTGTGTGTGTGTGTGTGTGTGTGTGTGTGTGTGTGTGTGTGTGTGTGACACTATGATAAATGGGCGACGTGGCCTGGCTCATACGCCGTGTTTATTCCATTCTCACTTGTTCCTCATCAGCTTCTACCAACCATCGCTTCATACGTCACACGATTCCCCCTCCCCCCGAAAGAAGGCATGGATTACGAACAAGAAGTAGTAAACGAGGAGAGATCGAAAAGTCACAAATGTCAAAATTCATAATCGGTTGTATGCTTCAGGGGAGTTCCGTAAACTTTCAAAGACTTCAGGAGATAGTGCAGCAGTCTGGTTTACGCAGGAGTTCTGGTGTGCGAGGCTGACTGTGGCGTTCAGGAGAAGATAACCGCGTCCCACACAGCTGCACTGACCATGACACGGCTTCAGCAGCTGCGAAGGACCAACGAGGCTGGACTTCCTTGTAGAATTTGAAGGTCGGACGTCGTAGGCGCCGAGTTTTCTGCCGTGGGTGCTGTATTCTTTGTCGTGGCTGACACAGAAGCATTGCTTCAAGCTTGCGTTCGCAATAACCGAAGTTGATGATACGATGTCTGTTTACCTGCAATTTGCAAATGGTAACGTTCAGTCACTTTTGTGGTTTTCTGTGGTGGTATCTCCATCGGTAGGATTGTACGTGAAGCCTTGATATCTCGTACAGAAGACTTCCTTGACGTTTCCTTCTACGAATATGGCTCAGATGTTAACTTCGTCTTTCTTTTAGTTTAGTTGGTGCCGTTTCTGACGACCA